TGGAACTTCCCTAGTCGGTATGTTGTAATCAGTCGAATAATTCTGTTGCAAGATGCATGAGGGGGATTCAACCGCGAGACGAATCATGTGCTAAATGTGAACGCGAAAGTGAAATCCTCGGATCATCCTATCGATCACGTTCCACGTAAGGCTAAAAGAGTCTTGATCTACAATCCACGAGTTCTCTAAAGAGATTTACCCTCTCAGAAAGGATTTCTAATCCATTCTGAGAGGGACAAGACAAAAAAATATTCTTGACATACTTAATTATTATCGCAACCTTATCGCGATATAAAAATAAAATTATATTGGTTCAACAGTAAGTTTGATTTATTGTCTTGAAACAAAAGTAACGTATATATAAATTTAAGTTTATATATTTTGCTGGCTAAATAATACTTAGCACGAAATTAATTCTCTTATTTTAGAGCTTAAAAAAATGTCATTTAAAAATATATCTCGGTTATAACAATAAATTTATTATCTCTATTTTGATCCTATTTTTTTCACATCATCCGCTTTGTCACAAGAGAGGGGTTATTTATGAAGTTGTTGATAAAATAATTAGTTTATGTCATTCTCAGTTCCAGCAAAATAATATTCAATCAATGCAATTAATATTTTCTTAAATAATAGATATCCATTACAATTTATTTTGTCGACCATTCAAAACAGAATTAAATTTCACATTAACAACAATAATAGTTTCACAAATAAAAAGGTTAAGGATAAAAAATGTTTCACAACTCCGTATTCCATTTTAGAAAAATTTACACGAATAGTCAACATGTTTAATTGCAACTTGGCTATTCTAAATACATTAAAAAATTTAATAAAAAGAAAGAAGGATAAACTGGAACCTGTATACAATCAAAACGTAGCTTACAGGATCTCTTGTGACGATTGCGAAGTCAGTTACGTTGGCCAAACTAAAAGACAGTTAAAAACAAGTCTGCATGAGCACGTTTCTGATATTAATAAAAAAACAAAATCTCCATCGGTTATTTCAAACCACCGTATTGAGGAGAATCATAATTTTCAAAAAAGGTTAATATCTGAGATGGTGCACAGAAAAAGACAAAAACACGGAATTAATAAACAGACTGATACGGATTCATTGCAGGAATTGTATTCCAACATCATACATTCTCTTTTCCTTTCCTAATATTCTCCTTATTCCCCTTTTTGTCAACATCTATTTTTGATTTTTGTTTTTCTTCTTGATATTACGTTATCTGACATCGTCGATATATTATAGAATAATAGCACTGAATTCGGAAATCTTTTTTATGGATGCATGAACTTTAAGAAGTGTGACTAAATGCAAAATAATTTTGTATATTTAAAAATTTTGATGTATTCTATTTTTTTTACACGAAATATTTAATTTTTACGTTAAAAATAGATGTTACGGTGAAAAAATGTTTATTATATATTAAATGTTAAAAAAAATATTTATTTACAGCAATAAATTATATTTAATATTTTTTATGTCTAAATATATTCATGATTTTACGCATCATAAAAATTCGTGATCTGAAGCTGTGCTCTACCATTAAACTTTTAACGCGATATTTTTATGTAATCGTTGGATTTTTTATTGACCTTGCCGCGTTGCTTCAGATCGAATTAATTGCTCAATCTAACTATAATAATTTTATCCTGGCAATCTTTTAACGAATTTTTATATGATAGTCGAAACTTTATTATTTGATAAATTTTTAGTAATTGTTCTTGTCAGTTCGACACTCTTTAAGCACCAAGAAAGCGATCGTTTCTGACACGCCGCTGCAGTTTGCATACTAAACAAAGTGACAGATTAGTGCATTGCTAATTTCCTATACATGGTTAATTTGTTCTATGAATTCATTCGTGTACTGGAATAAATATTGTGTTTTCATTCGATATAGATGTGAACGATGCATAAGGCATTTTTCGTCGTGAGGTATTTTACTCGTTCTTTTTCCTCTCACAATGACGTTAAGTACCAAAGTTAACGTTTACCTTTGAGCACTTCGCAACCACTTTTGCGCTTTCGAGGCGTGCCGTGAGGCAAAAAAAGGGAGATTATACCTTGCATGACTAGTCGTTCGGCTAACGACACTCGTTTTACACATGCATTTCTCCCGTCCACACCTCTTGAAATCTGAGACATGCGATAATAAAATCAAGCAAATAATTAAAATTTTCTTCTTGCTCCATTATAAATAGCACATTTAAAGCACATAATAGAAAGAGATCAGATTCGGATAAAAGCCGTTCGTGTAACAGAATCTTTCATCCGTAGGGGATCATTGCGCTGTCATGTTAATGATTAATATTGCGAATGTATAATAAATGACCGATACCTTTGAATTTAATTGGCAGTCCTCTAACTTTTTCGATCGACATATTATTGCGAGATATCACCACAAAATAGGCGTTGACGTTAACATTCGATCATTATCTACCTGTCATTTTAGATATTTTGTTTACTCATCAGTCTTGCCATTTGAATAATATTTAGGGCGATGCTTGCGTAAATTACACATGTACGATATGACGCAGAAAAGAGGCGAAGTCATAAATCACTCTACAGTTACTTTACATTCTACAGCAAAAGTTAAACGTGGGACGAGATGGCCAGAGAAGCATAAATTGAGATTTAAAAAAAATATCGGACAAAGTGTCTGGGGAATTAAAATTTATGACAATTGGGTATATTATTGGGATGTCAAAATCTTATTGCTTCACGCTTAAAACATCACCCAAAGAAACCTGTCTTGTAATAAAATCTAGATGAACTTTTAAACCAAAGGGCTCGAAACGTGTAAAGTTTTTGTTAGTCATTAAAATTTTCTTCGGTCGTAAATTAAAATCCCGAGGAATTTATGTCGGACAAAAGCAAGGTCTGTCACGATAACGTTTTGCTGTGCTACACCTCACGTGCTCCTCACCTGCACGCGTAATCGCGTAAGTGAAGTCGTAAACATTAAAATTATAAGAATTATGGAACTTACGCGTGAGATGATTAATGGCTCACAGGTGGCTGCTTACCGCCTTGTTGAGATCTCTCGTTCAACCTGAGGCGGTAGAAATACGTAGATTGTTCGCTTGCAACAGCACCCGCATCCGCGCTTTATTTCTTCGACCTTAACGTCGAATCGTTATAAAAGACTAACGTACGAACGCTCATAAATTGCGAACGAGACTTCAGAATTAAATTAGTGATTGACAGACAGGGAAACATACGGTGTAGTTACGGAAGAAGGCAAAATAATGAGAATTTTATTAATTATTAATCCGGAATTAAAATTTTCTAGGAAACACATGTCGCGTTTTGCATTTTTATGATATGCATACGTGATGAGACTGAAATATTCTGCGATTGCTCCGAGCGTGAAAGTTTAAAGTGTCGGCGGTGTATAAGTGAAACCGAATCTTTTATCATGAATAAATCAATGGTGTGTTTCGCGGCTGTTGTGCGGGCTCTGGTAAAAGTCGCGTTATTACGCACGCGACATTATTCTAATTAGCTGCTATTAATACTAAGGCAAACTTGGCGCTTCACAAACGTGAACGAAGGAGCAAGTCGGATCGTTTCCAGTTACGGAGCACCGCGCACCGCGGTCTGTCGAATGTAAAATGAAATTGAAAGAAAATGATACCGCCGTACACTTAAACGCCTCGCAAAAACCGGAATAATCAAACGTACAGGGTGTCCTGAAAACCGCGATTTCATTTTTATTTTAATACGATAAATTCCGTGATCTTACGAAAGTAGACTTTTTTCTCCTAAACGAGAGTCGAGGGATACTTCCGTATCGGAGAAATTGTGTAATTATGCGTGACGCGCTATTGTTGAGCTGCATCTTCAAATGCAGGAGTTATTATAATACTTGCTGTCCCAGGGAGCACAGGGTTTCTCACGGATAACAATTACTATATAGTTAACGTAGAATATCAGCTGGTGAGCGTTCGGGAAGAAGACTTTTTACCTAATGCGATATTTTCTTCAGTTACTTTCGACATGGGATGCATTTACATGGGAACAATACTGCCCTTCGTTTCCCAACTGGTAATGAGGGTTTGTAGAACCCCGTTTTTGCGTTACATAAAACTTGGATACGGTTATCAAGTTTATTAAGTTATTTGCGGTGAATGGTATTACGATGTGTAGTTGCATGTACACGTTGCCCGTGAACCTAGTGCATTCGACGCCTTTTACCGGAATACCTCGATTATTAAAATCGCGTCGCCCGTTAAGGCTTACCACACGCGTTCGTGCATTGAACTTGTTCCTCACACCGTGTAGTTCGTGTACATGACCGTAGTTCTGCTGCATAGCAGATACCTTTCAAGATCTCGCCGTCATAAATCATCTAGCTGAAGTCCGTGACCAAAATGAATCTAACGTTATAACATGCATATACATACGTGTACGACATTTCTCGAATTTCTACTAGACGGAAGTTGTTTGCGCCAGTAGTGAATAGAATCGAGTTTAGCTGCACGTCTCATTGACCATTTTACGATGCAGAGGAGCCCATCGGTAAACGCGGGTATAATTAATAGCGGAAATGTATTCTCGCTTTTAGAGCCATACCAAGAGCTATTTTGTCGTAAATGCGTGTGACCTATTAGCTCATTAGTTCGCTCCGATCGTTTCATCGGATGCGATTCCTGATTACGCGGTTCCCTTTGTGTCGCGATGTTTTCCCGCCGTACGAAGAGACACTCATCGCGCAACCGTGAAAGTGCCTTCGGGTCTCGCGAGCCACGTTGCTCTTCGATGCAGAGATCGAAACGAGGATGAACAGCAGCCACCTGAATGGCGGAAGGAACGGTGAAATAGAAAGCCGGCGACTGATAAAAAACGAGAGACACGCGTGATTTCCGCGACGTTGCGACTTCCCCTCTACACTCCCCCTCCATCACCCTGAAGACCGCCGACGAGGTAAGATGTTACTACATCGAGGATTGGATTATCGAGTATAGCAGCTGCCGCGCAATGGACTTACGTCTCTAACGATATCCTTGCCGCCGTTGGAAACCTCCTCCACGTTGATACGAATAGCCGACATGCTACGAGGCGTCGCTCCCTCGTGAAGCCACCCTGATAGAATACTTTGTTCTAAGTTGTTATCAAAAGATGATGCTTCCTGGATCCTCATCAGTATTATCTCGGCAGTCGTTTCTCGTCAAATGTCCTCACGAGATCACTACTCCTTGGCGTATCGGCTAGTGATCTCCCTTGTACCAATTTTCACACGGATTCCACAAGAAACCCACCGTCGTCGGTCACCCTCAAAGAACCAATCGATTTCTCGCGCGAGTGCTCCGTGCGTGACTATCGGCGTTTAAATTCTAGATCTTCGCCCTCGTTGGTATTTAAGAGGGAGAGATTGTGAAACGCGTATCCCAAGAAATGTGATCCAAAAGACAGAATCAAATTGAAGCTCGCTGTCCTCTCTCTCTTCCTTCGGAGCAGGACAATATCGTCAACTTAGTTATTTCCTTCGGACGCGCAAATTTGTTTTCGACCCCTTCGCGAAAATCTTGCACGGAATCACCTCGGAGGGATGACCGGTAGTGTGTTGGTCACTATCGCATGTAATATCTGTGTGACGCGCGTTCCGCGTCTGTTAAGAAAAGTACCGCACGCCGAATATCGTCGTGATCGTCTCTCTCGCACGCGTGCGACTAGAGCCGCCGCCGCATCTGGCCTTTGGACTGGCTGGCACCAGTCCACCAGATCGGTTTTATACCTTCGTATCTCCCACTCTCGTGGACGTGCGAGCGCGTTCGTGCTCGCTCGCTCGGTCGCTCGCTCGCTCGCTCGCTCGTACCGCGGTACGTCGATTCTGCACACGGGCAGTTCCACCACGGTCGAGAGGATCGATCTTTTTTTCTTCCTTCCCAGACGCACGTACGTGGTGGCGGTTGGACCCATGCATCGTGCCTTGTCCAGGCGAGGGGAACACACTTCTCTGTGGGTGCTCTAGGCGCAAGGACAAATGAGAGGTCGAGGGAAGGCTCCACCATCGTGCCCTAAGTCCGGTTGACGTATACATGTCGGCCGGATCGTAATCAATCTCTCGTTTACCTGTCTCGCGGATACAGGAAATTGGTTAATCGCAGACACGGGACCCATAAGTCGCGTATTATCTTCTAATAACCGCGTAACGAAATCTAGGAAGTGTACGTAGGGGGGTCGCTCTTATCTCACAGATTCCGCACATGTAACCACACCTCGACACGCGAATTTTATTATTGTAGGTAGACAGGGAAAGGTGCGTATCTCTCGTCTTATCTTGACTTCCGACAATAGTTTTAATATCGTTGGTAGATAAATTAGCATTTGTTATTTTTCGGCAATATATAACATTTGTTTTTTTTTTTTTTTTTTTTTTTT